GGACGCATACCTCCCAGAACCCACTGCGGGGCACACAACCCACCCAACACAGCACACGGGCACGTGGGAAGCCCAACTGCCAGGACCCTACGACCCCAGCACCGACCCCTGGCACGCCGCCAGCGACGACGAACCAACGCAGCAAGATGCAGCAACCCCGCAACCAGCAGGGGAGTTCCCCCACCAATGCCAGTCACAACACATCATGGGGGACCCCACCGGACCAGTCTATATCCCAGGGGAAGCAACCCCCCATGAACCCCAAGGACCACAACGCCTGCCGGGGAAAAAAGGAGGCGCACCCGTCCCACCCCCTGCGCTTCCTGCCATCCACCCACACGCCCACGCTGGGGGTCCAGGACGGCTACCTCACAGTTACGATACCCATCACCCCCCTGGAACCCCTGAGGATGGGGGCCGCATGCCAACCACCCCCAGAGCCCACCAAGCCCACACCGCCCCAACCCCCCCAACCATCCCAGAGCCCGCCACCGGACAACTGTAACGGGAGGAGAGGGGGCACGGAGGCTGCTACTCCCAAACCCAGACCCCCTCAGCCCCCCACCGATGACGACACACCACCGCCACCGGACCGGCAAGACGACACCCAGCCGGTGGAGACGTCCCATTGGTACATCAGGGAGGGGGAGACATTGGAGGAGGCCAGAGCCAGACGAGCAAGAAACAAACACGAGGGGAGGGGGGAGCAGAGAACACGCAACAGGGAGCAAAAAGCCCAGCGAGCCAGGGAACGCAAGCAAGCAAGACGTGCAGCGGCAGCTGCAGCCCGTGAGCAGCCAGCAAACGCACCCCCCGACCAGCCAACCGACTGGGCTGACCTCCTGAACAGACACAAGCAGCCGAGGGGGACGTGGGGGGAGCCAACGCAGCAGCAGCAACAGCAGCACCGCCACCAACCACCACCAAGCTCCCCGCAAGGGGCCAGTGAGCTGCACCAACACACAGAGGGGGCCTGCGATACACAAGAGGAGAGCGACAGCACGGAGACCCACTGGAGCAGCAGCGACGAGGAGGACCAGGATGAAGCAGCAGAAGCAGAGGAGCAGGCGAACACCGCACCCACCACCAACACACCACAACAACCAACAACGGCGGAAGGGGGCCCAACAGCCAACACAACAGCAACCCCCCACACACATGGACGAGCCAACACAAGGGGGGGAAGACGAAAGATGGGAGTGGTCCCAAGATGGGCCCCCGCTACTGCCCATCACCAGGGAAACCCAAATCGTGTTCAGGCAAGGGCAGCGGGGGGTGTGCATCTGGGAGTTCGATGTCCTACCAGGCAGCCAAACCATCCCGGGGGGACAAAGGATCCGGCAGCGAGGGGTGAGCACTCCCCAGGGCAAGGACCAACCCCCCCCCATCCCTGTTGGGGTCCGCGGACAACTGAGAAAGGTGAGGGGGGAGGACGTGTGGGTGATGGCAGTGGTTGCGGCCCCAACCCGCGAAGAAGGGGGCAACAAACACCGACAGACAGTCCAGCTCCAGCAGGGCCAACTGGCCAGAGTGGACCCGCACATCTACAAAGCAGCCCGGGTCACACCGCTCCCACCAGCCAACCGGCCCAACTATCAAGTTGGGGGGTCCACGGGGTCGGGGCACTCTCAGCAGCCGAACCGGCCGCCAACACAGCAGCAGCAGCAGCAGCAGCAGCAGCAGCAGCAGCAGCAGCAGCAGCAGCAGCAGCAGCCACCACCACCACCACCACCGCACCACGAGGCGCAGACCCCACGGCCTACAAACCCAGAAGCCCCAGCAGAGGAGACAGGAGAGCCAGAGGAACCAGAAGAGGCGGCGATGGTCCAGAAAGCCAGAGGCAGGGGTGGGAGGGGGGGCAGACACGGAGGCGGCAGCACCAACACGCGCAAGAGAGGGGGGCCGGAGCCCAGCGCAGGCAAACCAGCCAAGCGAGCAAGAAAGGGGGGTGACAGCAAAGGGGCCGCCACCACAGCAGCCACCTACATGCAAGCAGCCAGGCAAATCCTGCAAGAGCAAGCCGGGCGGGGCGCAGGAGCAGGAGAGGAGGTGGCGGAGGGGGACTGGGATGAAAGCATACAACACCTCGAGGCGGCCCTGCAATGCCTAGGCGGGGCAAGCCAGGAGGACGAGGAAGGGGGGCCACAGGAAGGCACAGAGAGCCAGCAAACCACCAACACAGCCCACTGTCCCCCCCCCCAGGCCTGGGGGGGGAGACCTCACCGAGACCCATTGCCAGGGGAGGAGGGGCACGGCAGCAGCAGCAGCGCCGCCGGAGTTGAGATCCCACGCCACAACATGCCCCTCCCCCCCCTCGCAAACAGTCCCATGGCGGGGACAGAAGCGCACCGAAACAACACCCTAAACACCACCGAACACCGAGGCCCGTGGGAGGGGACCACAACCTGGGAAGAGGTGGCACGCCTAGCGAGGCAGGTGGGGCAGGGATGGGGGGCGCTCACCCAAGAAGAGAGGATGCAGGACACGGCGACGATCTTGGGGCTGGTGAGGCAGGGGCGCAGGTGGTTTGACAAAGTGAGGAGGAGCAGCAGCTGGGAGCTGCAAAGCATGGCGGAAGCCAGGGGGGCGGAGGCGGAACAAGCAATATTGCTGGCACTCAGCTACCCCAACCACCCCCAAGCCGCACGACAACTTGAAGCAGCACAACACCATGCGGAAGCCTGCCTGGGGGCGGAGGCGTGTGTCCTTGAGCTACAGCCACCCACACCACCAGCACAGCAAGAGGGGGTGCACCCGGCGGACACCATAGCACTGGCGGCGGGAGGAGAGGAACAACGAGGGGCGGGGACAGGGGGAGGCCAGCTCCAAGCACCAGGGCACCCGGCCATGAGAGCCCGCGCCATCCTAAGACACCTACTACCCTTCACAGGGGGGCAAGTGCGGGAGCAGGTGGTGGCAGCACTGCAAGCACTGGAGGAGTGGAGCAGAGAACTATGGGGGGGAGAGCTGCTCGCCATCGAGGACACGCCACCAGGAGGGACGGGCCCACACCCACACACACAAGGAGAGCAGAGCACCCGGGGCGAGGAAGGTGGAGGGCGTGCTGAGGAGAGGACTGGGGGGCTACATCGACCGCAAGGCGACCTACACGAACGTGAAAATGGCAGGGACACCGACGAGGAGAACGACCTGGAAAGGGGGGGAAGGGTCTGTGTGGCCGGCGGAGGAAGTGGAGGAAGCGGGGGCGAGGAAAGAGGCACAGGCAGCGGGGGGGTGGAACCACGTGCACAGGCCACACCACCAACACCACCCACGCAGCCGTGGAGGCCGCCACCGCTTGCAACGGGGCTCTTTGAAGGGCCGGTTAGGCGAAGAGGGGAAGCACAAAGGGGGGAAGCGGCGGAGAGGCGGAGATCCAAGCAAAGGAGGAGGCTAGGGTGGGGGCAAAGAACAAGGCGCTCACGCAGTGGGAGCAGAGGGGAGCAGCCCACCCGACGTCGAGCTGGAGGACAAGGAGCAGTTCTGAGCCTGGGGGCCCCGGATGAGCACCGGCGTAGGAGAGAACACGCAGGGCTGGATTGAAGCAAGCCTTGGGGCCATAGGAACTAAGGCCTAGGGGGCTGTTCGCAGGGGGCTGTTGTGTGAGCTGATTCCACTAATCCAGCCCTAAACTGAAGGCGCAGGGGGCCAACTAGGGGATAGAGGTTTGGCGGATAGGATTTGTACCGTTTGAAGGGGGTGAAGTGGTGTGAAAGGAAGCCCCGACTAGTGCCTAGCCTGAACGTACAAGGACCGAGCTGACATGTGATGGATGAAAGGTTCCGGGGGTAGGCCTTTTCTATGGGTAGGTTGTAGGGCCTAGTGAGGGGCAAACAACGTCCAACATGTCATCATCGGTCATACCCAGTCTCACTGACCCAAGCTGCAGGTAGGGCGGAATATTAGGGGTTGTGCAAGGGTAGGTTCTCGTGTGTTGGAGTTGTTGGGGCACTAACAATCCTGCGAAGGGTCAAATAAGCACTGTTTCACGGGTGATGAGGTGTGCAGAGACAACACGACAGGCCGAAGGGGGCATAAGGGGGCATATGGGGGCTTCCGGGTAAATAAAAAGGGGGGGGGGAAAACAAGCACAGTCTCTCACACCATCGTCGTCCACCGCACCTCCGAGCCACCCCGATCCGGGGCGGGCGATGACGCCCGGGGGCCCCGGCCCCCACGCCCTCCGAAAGAAAGAAAGAAAGAGAGAGAGAGAGAGAGAGAGAGAAAAAAAAGAGGGTTTCAGGTCTATAGGGTTTAGGTTTGGGGGTCATGATTAGGAATAACTTTCTAATCATAATTATAGTCATAAGTATATAGTCAGGAATAAACTGTAATGAAAAGGAAATGGTTGCCCGAATTAACATTCTATTTTTGACCGTAAGCATAGCTGCAATGATGATGTGCGACGAATCAGCGCAGTAAGAACAGACACACGGTTGACAACGCCATTCTCGTGTGTGTGGGTGTGTGTACGCACATGTTGGCAGCCTGATTCTGTGCAAAAGGGGTTTTGGGATTGACTCTGCTGTCGTGGCTGCGGGTGGGGTCGCGATTTCTTTAGCAGAAGTGTGATAGATTCGCGAGCCCTTGCGCCATTTCGAGCCAGGATGCGCCGAGATTCCCCTAGTCGCGCCAGGTATATGTCAGTTGTGGCGCAGGAGGGTACGGTAGTTCAGACACAGCCTCCTTGGGCAAACAGGGCAACCTGAGACCAACAGGCACGTGAGGTTTGTCGTGACGTGCCACGTGCCTGGTTGGCTCGAGGTGGAGCGTTTGCCATTGAGACCCCAAACCAGCTTCGTCACATTATTCTTTGTTGAGAAGGACCTGGAGGGCACTGTCAACACCGACGTGCTGCGAATCTTGCGCTCGGCATGTAGTTGATCTGCAAGAGCATTTCTTCCCGATGACCCCCCAGCACATCAGCATCAATTTCAGCACTCTCCAAACCGTGCGTGTGGGCATGAGCCTGGCATCTCGGGCGTACTTGCAGCGCTGAGGCTCAAAACCTTTCTCTCCCGGCCCAAGAGCGAGGACATTGCCTGTGTCATTGCCGTGGACTTCTCCTAGAGTGAGTGATTGGTTTGATATTTTTGAGGCTGGGAGTCCTTTTCGTGGTAGAATTGCCTGAGCTCAATTCAGTTGCTGTCCACTGAAGCCTACTGCGTGTGACCAGCCTGCAGCAACTCAGTTTGGAACTACTGCCAGTGCTCAACAATGGGAGGACGGCACGGAAGCAAGTCTTCAAGAGGATCCCAACAAGGTCCACCACTGGCTCAAGCATACCTCTGATGTGTTTCAGGGTTTCTGCGTCTCAGGTTTGGTTCAGTGATTCGTTTCGGAGCTTTCTGCAGTGTTTGTCCACGTTGAAGAGGGCGCTGAGCGGCCTTCGGGCGGAGGAAGGTTGGGGTGAGGTTGAGCGTACTTCGTTGCGTTCGCAAAAAGGTTATGAGTTTTTTGCGAATGCGCATAAACTGTGTGGGGGGGGGCGAACGTACATGTGGATAGATCGACAGGAGGAGAACCGTCAAATAGCCGTTTGCGTTCTTGGGGCTGCCCGAGCTCAGGGTATGTAGAAAAAAACATCGTTGCACCTTGGGCTCGTTCTTTTTTGGATGTTGCGAGTTAGTGGTTGGGACAGACAGGGATGCGCGTCGAAATGTGGCACGGGAATTCATTCACGGATGCGGGGTCAAAGGCGGGCTCTTGGACACCAGACACTAGTATTTTCGAGATCTGTAGACTGTGACGGCACACGATTCCAAGGGTCTGAACTGTCAGACCAAGATATGAGAGCTTGAGACAGGGCTCAGGAGTCGGGGTTGAGCTTTCAAGCCTTCCCCAACGCACCCCAAACCCTGATTCAACAAAAGCGACATTCAGAGCCATCACCAAGTGTCAGGCTTCGGGCATACAGCTTCCCACATGCGTTTCGGCGTGAATGGTGTGCTGGATTGCTTGCAAGAAGAGAGTTGGCTTTCAAGACCCAGTAGGTCCAGTAAGAAGTCCCGTGCCAGCTTGCCATGACGGAGTCCATCTTCAAAATCTACCAGGCCGAGGGTTCTCCACGGCTTTGTGGCCCCAGTTCCTCGTCATCCCCCGCAGGGCAAGTAGCTTGGGACGTGACATATGGGATGGCGAAACTTTTGCCGCAGGGCGCAGCCCCAGCGCTTAAGATCGCTTGTTTCGGGTGTGCTGGTTTAGGTACGCAACGCCAACACCCCAACCCTGCGCATCCCAACCTTTAAAACACTACCCCCGCAAACTCCAACAAACATCAACAAGAAGAGCAGCCAAACAAAGCCTCTCGTGACTCTTTGGCAAGATTCGTGATCCCTGCGACAAGGAGCTGCTGTTCGTCATCGGCCGTGCTGTGGGCCGAAACGAGGGTCTCCAGCAGGCCAGGTCTGGGTGTGCTCTCCCTTCAAGGGGCCGTTCCGAGTGATTTCTCCTTTGCAGCCCCTGCCGAAACTATGCAATCCACTGCCTAGGGCTGTTTACGGACCTCCGCCAAAGGCTCACCTTGAATACTGCCATCAACGACCTTTCATGCAGGACCTTTTTGCGCCTCCCAAGGCAAGAGCCCCTCTAAAATCCTGATGGTCAGAGCGGCGCCTGAAGGTATTTGGGGATGATCGGATTGGAGGGGGAGGGGGTTTGAGGCGCCCCCCCCCCATACGCCCGCCGAAGGGAGGCCGTGACGCCTTGATAAACCCTGTGAGGCCTTACAGCGGGCCCAGCACTATGCCTCGAGGTGGGGCTGGGACAAAGGCTTTTGCAAAAGGCTCAGGACAGGAAGTTTAAGGATGCTGAACGTCTGTAGATGAAGGGCTTTTGTCCTAGTGGTTTCACATACTTCATAGATATCGCCAGGGATAGCTCTTGCAGTCTTGCAGGTTGTAATCCCGTGTAGTCACACTAAATCGGAGTGGATTTAGAGTTATCTTGTCATAATTCGTAAAGTTTTTCTGTTGGCCTCGCGGCCCTAGAGGGCGCACAGGGCCATGCAGCGGTAGCAAGCTGGGGGGAACTCTGGGTAGCACCCCCCGCGACCCAAAACCTCCAAAACACGAGCACCTGAACGCTCTGAACCCTCACCAGAAGCTTAGGGCTTAGGGTTCAACAGGTTGGGAAGAAGCACAAATGTGCAGCGCGAAGAGGGCGTCTCTCGGCACTTCTTACATCCGTCCATTGGCATATGTGCTTTTTAATTGGATTCTGCGATTTGGTTGTGATTCGGGGCTGTGAGCTGGGTTGGCTTCCAGACCGTCTTTTTAAATTTGGGGGGGGGTTCCGGATCGTCAAAAAGGCAAGAAGCACAGCCGAAAGCCAGCCACCACGGTGCACGTTGGACATGTCAGAAGGACCTTTGGAGGGCTCCTGTGGCACAAATGCCAACAAACGTGGCAATGTATGCTGGAACAAGCATGCGCACTTCGATAACCTCCGGGCAAATCAAGCGGTATAGCCGAATAGAGACTCATCATCACTAAAGAGAATGTTTCACGCAGGGCGAAAACCAGTCATTTATTTCGAGAACCTTTCTCACAATGTAGTGGCCCTTCCGAAATGGAATTGGCTTGATTGATGATCTTCAATTGGAGCGCTGTGCAGCTGGCTGGTGAATCCGCTCTACTCTTGCCTGTGCTGCTGCATGCCCGGTGCCCACCCCCGTCGCTAATCGTGATCGTATTGCAACATTTTCCATACAGAATAGACAAACAATATTGTTCGACAATATGGCTGCATTTTGCTTTCAATATGATTTTTGACAACGGATATCGATGCAGCCCTTTTGCAAAAAAAACATTCAGATTTCAAAATGGAGTCAAACTAATTAATGCATGCCATGAAGCTGTGCGTCCCACATCCAACAATCCAGCAGTTGAAGACTTGCCAATCTCAATCAACGAATCCCATGAAATCACATTCCCGCAGCAAGCTGTCATGCATTGCAAACAATATCCATGGGATGGAAAGAGTATGTTTTACTGTTGAATCATAATCAATGGCAGATTTAATTGCTGAGTGTACTGTTTTGAGATTATTAGACATACCTGGAATTTCAGGGTCACATGTTATTGCAGTTTGGTTCGCACCATATTCAATTTTGTATTCCGTTTGTTTACTCGGTGTCCGTGTCCTGGCTGGGCAATCAAGAGGCATGGACCGGTGGCCACAACCAGCCTAAGTCCGGCAACATCCGGAACCAACCTAATTGTAGCTGTGCAGGGCCACAGACGGTGTAAAGCTGATCTTCTGCGGCTGAAAGGCCTAATCGTTGAAGGATACCACGCAGCAGGATACCAAGTACAATTTGCACGATCCTCGCAATGCACGGCGGCCTTCAGATGCTCCCGTGCAAGCAGAAGTCCGGTCTTTTTTTCGCGCCGCACAAAAGGGTGGTCCGTGCTGTGGGATTGAGGGCCGAGACATCGCAATGCCGACGGGAGGGACGTCGCACTGTGCACGCGCACGGCAGCTGAAAAAGTGTCAGATTGTGCATCGTAGTCATTGCAGCCTGCAACTGTAGATCATTTGGCATGTACTTCTAACCGATGCTGTCGATGTATGCACAACTATCACAAAGCGACTTGTTGGTTTTGGACTTGTCTCGATTGCGTCTAGACATGGACAAGCCCACAGGAATGAGCCGCTGGCAAGTAATTGATCTGAATTTACCGATGAGCTTTTGCCTGAAGTGTCGCATGGATCATGGTCTGGGGTCCAAGGGTTCACAGTTGACGCAGTTGATGGTTTTGAGTTTTTTTTTTTTGAGGTTTTTGAGGCCTTGTTTTCTGACTTGAAAATTCCCGGCTGGCCTTCAAGCTTTCGCAAGGTGACCTCGCTCATGGAGCCGTGCCTGCCACATGTTGGAGCCATCACTGATCCCCAGCTGCAAACATGCCACAGCCAAGGCTCCCAAAGCCCAAGAAAGCGAGGCTTGAGACTTTGAGACTCCCATGGCCCTCTGGCTAACCTGAAAGCACGAAGGAGATGATACGCATTCTGCTGGATCCTACCTGCCCCGGTGCGCAGCATCTCATCTGCATGCCGGGAAGAGTTTTAGGATTTTACGATGAGGCTTCTGTGAGTCTGTGAGGCATGCCAGGCTCAGGGCATCCTGCACAGGAGCTGGAGTTGTCACGGTCTCATGACTAATACTGTAAACTGGTAGGGGCCCTCGCGAAGATTGCGCTTGCAATTGAAACAGAGAGGACAGACAGCGCTTGTGTTTAGAAGCCTGGCCAGCATCGTCTGTGAACGCCCAAACACCTTGCCCCACTTGCTGGGCCCATCCAGCAGCCAAAGCTTTGGAAGATTCAAGTAGCGGACTGAGCGCACACTGATGTCTGCCACAGGGCCGGTGTGCTTGGAGACTTGGCAGATGGCTGGTGCATGCTGGTTTTGACATTTGTTTGTAGGGTTGCAGTACGTTGCGGTTGCAGGAGAAAGTCAGTTTCCGGATGTTTCTAGTCTTTGGCAGCCGTGGGTTTGAGTGGGGGTTCGAGATGGTTTCGGCAGTTTGGAGCCGGCTGCAATTGAAGAGTCTCTGGCGAAGTTCTCAACCCCAAGAATTTGTCGAGTATTCAGTGGAGGCTTGAGGGTCAGGGACCAGGGCTTCACATCCCCAGGTGTGAGCACCGCCATTGAAGCCCTGGAGAAGTTCAGGCGCGAAGAGGGGTATGCTGATTGCCAGGGCACGCAGATCGTTTGGTAGAGCTCAAGCCAGCAGATGTGTTGTTGCTGCTCCGAGCTCTGTCTCAAAGAAATAGTGACACGGCGACGCTGAGCATGGTGCCTATAGACGCAACAAACTTTGCAACCAAGGCATTTTAACAGCAAGAAGCACAAGTTTGATAAAGAGCCGATCTAGTTTGACTTCTTTCTCTCGGTGCCCTTGAAGTTCCATTCTGATCTGTCCAAAGTCTGCCAACATACTCGCTTTACCTTGAGCAGCTAATTGTAAGGAGCGAGAGTAGTGAGTGACTGAACTCACGAGCTTTATCTGTACACTTGGAGAAGGGACCATCCCTTATCAACACAGCTCTCTTGTCAAGCTATTAGGTCCGGCGTATGATATGGTTACGAGGATATGGATGAGCGGGTCTCGCTTCCCCCTCACCCCCTCCCCTCACCCCCTCCCCTCCCCCCTGACCCTCCAACTCTAAGCCTACAAGCCTCTTTTCCATAGTGTAATAAGTTTAGGATCGTGATTTGTTAGCAAGACGACAGCGCTTCGTCTGTTTCAAGCACGTTGAGTGCTTGCGCTAATTGGCTTATCAGTTCGTTCTGTAACTGTATTCGTCCCTAACTTTGCGCTTGTCGTCATGCCGCGCAGCAAATCAGCGTAAACGCGGAAGGTTTCATGCCTTTGCCGACCCAACAGGTTCTGCAAAGAAGGGCGTACCTCCGCGAACCATATGCCTGAAAAAACTAGCTGCTCGTAAATGGTGTAGCTTCCGTACAGACTTGCAGCATCATTGTCATGTGGGCCAATATTCAGTATATCAGTGAAACAGTCACTGAAACAGACAACAGACAAGGATTAATCAAGTGTGTGCGCCCGCGCGGGTGCGCGCGTGCGCGCGCGCGGGTGTGTGTGTGTGTGTGTGTGTGTGTGTGTGTGTGTGCGTTTGCTCACAGCAATTCATGCTTTCATGCAACATCTTTCCCAAACGCAGGCTCCAAACCAACATGCCAGCCCTACGAAAATCCAGACTCATGGCACCTTCTGGGTGGTTGGCAAACAAAAGCTTGAACTCTCAATAACTGTTCTAAACTAAACCTTTACCGTGAACCTAAACCTAAGACCCAATATCGGACTCTAAAGCTCCCAAGCCCCTGGCCCAAGCCCCCAAATCCCACAACCACCCATACCATGCACGGGACTGCATGTTTTTTCATTGCTCCAACACTTCGAAACCAGGGATGGTGGCCTGCTTGGTGATTTCGACACCGTCCACTGCGGCCGGGACATCGTCCAGGGCCTGCAGACCTGCCTGAAGGAAGGGGGGGATTCTGTGTCAGAGTTTCACCTCCGCCAGCTCATCTTGGCCCTCTGCCCTTGAGTGCAAACACTGAACCACCCCTACAACCTACAGTCCTGCTCAGCATTGCTCAGCTTTGTCACCCCCAAGCGACGACCCCGTAACGGCTCGAGCACAGCAAAATAGACTCCGCCCTCTCAGCCGGATTCTGCCCTGCCTCCGTGAAGTCGGGCGACTCGGATTGGGTTCTTGGCGATGCGGGTATATCTGGCTCGTGGAATGTTTTAGGCCGTTTAGACACGAGGGTTCGATGGGCTGTGCGCTGGGCGAAAACACGGGCTAGAGTGGCCGGCATTCAGGAAACGAAGGCGACAGTCAGCGGAGCAGACTCATCAAACCGGAAGAGTCCCGGAAGAGGCTGTCAGAAACCAGGGTGGGAGTCACACGAACTAAGGCTTAACATGCCGCCGCTCGTTTGACCGCAGCCGTCGTCTTTGCCGGCGAATCTCTTCGTGGTTTTTCTGACTTGCAAATCCCGCTTCCTGAGATCCTCTGGCAGTTTTCCGACTTTGTCTGGGTTGTTTCCGACTTTGTTTCATGAACGTGGCCGCGCCCCAGTTTGGGCTTTGATGCGGGTCGCCGAGCTACGATTCAGGCCGACAAAGCCCGAGGCAAAGCATGTGCCTTGGTCAAAGATGTCACTTCATTCTCGCAGAACACTTCCAGGTCGTCCCAGGCGTTGTAAACGGAAAGCTGCGACCTCTTGCGATGCAGGCAAAGTGCTGAGGCCTGTTCATCAGCTCAGCGCCGGCAAGCCCCATCTTTAAAGCACATCGACTCTAGTAAAATTTCCACCGCCAGAGAGCGATGCCTGAACCATCCTGAACCACATTTTCCGATTTTCCGAAACAATTTCTCGACTTCGACTTGCTCAGAACGATCCCAGACCTTTTAGGTCATGGCGGAGACGAACGAGCCCGCGCCCCCAGCGCCTGTACCTGCACGGATGGTTTGGGGGTTTTGCCTCCCTTTTTCCTTTGCAGGCCTTTGCAGGGCATGCAAACCGTGCCGATCCAGTCCCCAAGCCCACCTAACCCCTAGGTCGACAGCTCCCGAAACGCTGTGTTGCAGTCTGAGTTTGTCTTGGTTTGCTTGTGTCCGGGTTTCGGGGTTGCACAATCGCTCGTCAACATCGGGAACGTGTTCGACAGGTTGGATGAAAAAGGGGGGGGAGGGGCTGGTGCAGCTGGTGAAACAGCTGCAGCACCTCGCCTGCGCCAGCATATTGTGGTATCCAGCGGCCCACCGGTTTGTTCGAGCATCTTGAGTGATTGCCAAGTGGACTTTGAGGCAGCAGGGTAGACTTACCTGGGGCAGGATGATCTATTGAAGTTGAGTCACAATGTTACAAACAAGACCAAACATGAAAAACACCCGAGGGCCGGCGGAGCGAGCCGGCCTGCAAACACGATCTTCGCCGACCAAAGCTCGCCGAGGTGCCAGCGGAGCCGGCAAAGCCGGTGAAGAAGCGCTCTCCGTTGCTCGGGTGGCAGTTGGGTTTTTTGCTTTGAAGCTCAAGGTGTGCGATGGTGTGCGGTCCGCGGCCGCATGGTTTAGTGCTGAGTTTGCCAGCTCTTGGCGGTATCCCGGCGTTGCTCACAGTCCGGCTGCACAAAGGCCTTTTGGGCCGTAGGTTCAGCGTCGAAGTCCTGCTTTGCTGCCGAGGAATCGCCTGGTAGTAGAGGAAGCGCTGAATGACGACAATTCCGTCATTTCCCTGTCGCAGGCATGGGCGTGCAAAGCACACCACACAGAAAGTTCTCAGGATCATCAAAGTCCTCAAGGCAATCAGCAACTCATCAACATCATATTTGAACTATTGCCTGAGCATTCCTGAACCGGATAACTCCAAGGCACACCGGGCACAAACCCAACACCTGATTGCCGCAAATGTGCCTGTGCCATCCGTGGCAGAAAACCAGCTCCAGACATGTGTTTGAATGGGGCTCGAGCAGTGTTCAGGGTGTTCCAGGGTCTCCACATAAGTCCCAGACCTCGAACTCAAAGCGATGCTGAAGCGAGGCCAAGATGGAGGAGCTGAACCTTTTCCGCGGCGACAATGTGCTCATCAAGGGGAAGAAGCGAAAGGACTCCAGCACTCCAGCAACCTTACAAAATTCCAATCGCAAGCCCGGTTGGACCATCGTGTCTTAAGCTTGCATCCGTGTGTGGAAAGAAGGGGCAAGGATCGACTCAACAGCTCACAGCCCTCGCCTGGTTGCCGAACAGTGAGTGCATCTGTCCCACACACACACACTTTAGACTCGACTTCTGTCGAACTGCAAGCTCCAAATTCTTCCAAAGGTCTGGCAAGCTTCTGGATTTGCAATGGAAATCTGTACTTATTTTGAAATGGCCAAGGATGCAGCCACAGCTTTGAGGGTACTTCTGGGATGGCAACAGGTACACAGTTCAGCGTCCTGAACTGTTTCCCACTCCAAGGCATAGCTTCGTTGCACTGGGTTTGCCAAGGAGTCCCAATGCCCCTGCGATCTTCACTGCAGAAAGTTAAGTGCAAAACAGATGCCCTTTGGTACAGGGCTTGACACACACACACACACCCCTCCTTGCGTTGGAGGGGAGTTTTTCGGTTTTTTTTTAGGGGCATAAGAAAGTCGACTGAGAGGGAAACCTCAACCTGGGGACACTAGAGCCTCGGAATTACGTGGACTGCTTACAACGCTCGCACCCAAGACGCCAAGCGACTGACGAGGAAACCTCAACTTGGGGACACTAGAGCCTCGGAATTACGGGGACTGCCTGCAGTGAGCAAGCGAAAGAGCAGTCCACTGCCCATTGAGTCGTCTGAGATTTCCTGAGTGCGGCTGCCGGGATCGTCTTTCCGACCTTCATCGGCCTCAGCTGGTTCCCGTCTTCCGGATCATGTGAGAATTCCTTCGTGTGAATGCCGGAATCATCATTCCGGCCTTGAGAGTCCTTAATTGGTTCCTTGGTCCATCATTGGCTCCAACAGTTGTGGATATAGCAAGCACAACCCCTGCTGTATAAAGAACAGAGCCGACAAGGGGGAAACTTGAACCTGGGGACACTAGAGCCTCGGAATTACAGGGACTGCCTATTTCGTCCGAAGCGAAACAAGAACCAGACCGTAGGTACTGCGTTGCGCTCTTTGGGCGGACTCCTGGAGGATCCATGATCAGCGTCAAGCAATTTGCACTCTGTGGGTGGAGCCCTGGGGGATCCATGATAAAGTCAAGCAATCGTGGAGCTGATTATGTAAAGTCACGTGAACTGTCTGCAACCATACAGAACGAATGAGAAGCTGAATCAGTTGTAAAGTCATTCGTAACAAACTTCTTTCAGGCCCTGACATCAAGCAATACAATTCATGCGATAGTTGAAAGACTCCTCCCGTCGCTTGAGAGCCAAGGAAGTCAAAAGCTTCGGTTAAGTCAATCGTGAAGTCAGACTTGCGAGAGCATCCTCCCACGTAGTTGGCGCCCAAAGGGATTGCCGAACTGACACACACTTTAGACTCGACTTCTGTCGAACTGCAAGCTCCAAATTCTTCCAAAGGTCTGGCAAGCTTCTGGATTTGCAATGGAAATCTGTACTTATTTTGAAATGGCCAAGGATGCAGCAACAGCTTTGAGGGTACTTTTGGGATGGCCTGCAGGTACACAGTTCAGCGTCCTGAACTGTTTCCCACTCCAAGGCATAGCTTCGTTGCACTGGGTTTGCCAAGGAGTGCCCAATGCCCCTGCGATCTTCACTGCAGAAAGTTAAGTGCAAAACAGATGCCCTTTGGTCACACACACACACACACACGCACAGTTCTTATGGGGTCTGCTTTGGATGGCCTGTGACATCGGCAAGGCCAATAATGGGATTTGTCATCCGCGGCCCGCCGTGGCAACTGCATCTCCAGCTTTCGCGTTGCAGGACACGGTTTGCATCGTTCTGGCTGACGAGAATCTAGATGACAGCAAGATCCGCATGAACAAGGCTCGACGAGTGACGGGAGCATGCAAAATACCCGAGAACCAGGTCCATGACATACCCACTCTTTATCGTACGCGCCATCGCTACAGAAGCCAGCTTGTGCAACTAGGCGCACTGGGTGTCCATGTGAAGGTTGTGCGAAAAAATCTTCGTGTCCGCTTGGGTGACATCATCTCCGTCCACGCTTGTGGCTAGGCTACACAGTTTTCCCTCTTGGTGGTTGAGGGGTGTCACTACCATCGACGTCTTTCTTGCACGGGAGCTCGCTTCCCAGTCATCAAGATGACCTGCGGTGACACGCGGGCTTGAAATGATTTTAGCAGCAACGGCGGCAGGTGTCATGTTTTCTCACTCGAGCATATAGCCTAGCAGTTCCAACTTCAGTAGCACCACAAATAGGGGATCTGTATCTAATGCTGGTGTCGTTTCTGTAGCCAAAAGTGCTTCTTGCAAGCAGTATCGCAAACATACGTGGGCTTCCGAGCACAAGCGGCAATTAGCTGCAACCTCGAACTTCATACGTTTCAGCCATGAACCTGCAGTCTCACATATTGCATGTGCTCGGCTCTTAAGGGCGTGCGGGTGTGAGTGTCTTCGCGACAAGTTGCTTGGTTGTAGGGCTAAAGGATTTGAAAGAAAGAAGCAAGTCCGAGCACTTGCATGAGCACACTCCAGCGCTGCAGAAATGATGATCCTCAAAGTCGCTTCAGTTTGAGCAGGGTCACGTAGGGGTGACATTAGAGCCACTGTGTGTCGCATTGGGCGAGATTTTCTTTCAAGCTTACACGCACCCAGGTGGAGACGTTCCGTACGGAAAACGTGTCCACGTCCTCCCACTGGACGACACAATCGAGGGCATCACAGGCTCTCGGCTCTCGACTAGGCATGCGCGTATCGGCATGCGGGTTATGTTGTGCGCTAGTTGATTCCCATTCCTTATCTGTCATACCAGCGTCGAATCGCGAGTTCTTGGGCCCAACAGGCAACCTCTTCGACACCTATCTCAAGCCTTACTACCTGGAGGCGGGCCATGTGAGATCGTTTTTAAGTTGTGCAGAGAGTACTAGGCCCAAGAACCCGAACTCCCAAAAAGAAGCCTTACGTCTCGGCTTGGAACGACGGATTCAGCCCTCACGCAACAGATGCATCTTCCCACTGTGGCCTTGGAACTCAGGATCCCGAATGTTGAGTTCGGAAGCTATTTGGCACGCAAAGCAATCAGACGCCAAATCTTCGCCAAACCTGCAAAACAAATCCCAACCCTTGCGCTTTCCACATCTGTCGGATCCTCGCGCAGGCCTACCGCCCCGCCCGCCAGGGGGACCTCTTCCTTGTGCGCGGTGGCTTCCGACCAGTCGAGTTCAAGGCCAGGGAAATTCGGCTCAGGGTTTGGCTTTGGATGGTTTTTGTCAGTGTGGCTTTATTTCATTTCTTTCCGGAGTTTGGGACTTCCCCTCATATAAGAGCCAATCCACACATCAGCACAGTACTCGTAGAGTTTAAGCTTCATAGTATTGAAGCATATTGAAACCCAACCTACAAACCCCACGAACCCTAAGCCCTTAAAAAAGTTGAAAAATCCTTCTCTGCTGTGGTCTTGTTGGTAATACTTCGCGTCTTGACGTGTCGATGTTTGGGTATGAAGGTGTTTCAGTGCAGAATCCACATTGGTTGCATGCAAGAACTTCAGTTTCGAGCAAAGGAGTTGTTAGGTGATGCTGTATGTGAATTTCTTGCAGTGGGGCTCCTTTGGCAAATTGCCACAACTCCTATCGACAGGTCCCACTTCAAAGCCCCGTGTAGAGCGATGGATTGTGTATGGGTCTTGTTTTGGGTTTGTTTGTGGCGGTTTGGTGCATCCTTTTGGAAGATGAACTAATGAGTCCATCATTGTCGGGGACGGTCCTGCAGTGCAGCTTAGTAAGTCAGCCAGCAGCACAAACCCTAAACCCTAAACCTAAACCTTATGGTGTGTGCCTCGCCTGGCTTGTCCGAGTGTGAGCGATTAAACCCTAAACCCTAAACCCTAAGCCCTAAGCCCTAAGCCCTAAGCCCTAAGCCCTAAACCCTAAACCCTAAACCCTAAACCGTTGCGGTTCGGCCAGCTATGCGGGAGCGAGAAAAAAATCACTTTCCTCCAGAACAGCGCCCGGATGATATCGCCATCCGAGCACTTTCAAGTGACAACCTGAACTTGCAACCCGACCTCTTCCCCACAAACGCATGCGAAACGGGTGGGGACCAAACCCCCCCAAACCCCCAAAATCAAGCCCCTAGCATCCCCTGAGTCGTTCCTGGGCCGCCAAGGTGGTCGGAGTGGACCCTGGAGAGTTCGTTCCTTTTCTTCCACCCTGTTCAGGGTTTAAGGTTTAGGGGTCAGGGCCGTTTAGGGTTTAGGGACGTTCAGAGGGTTTAGGGTTTAGGGTTTAGGGCCCTTTAGGGTTTAGGGTTTGGGGTGTAGCGGCTTGGTTTCGGGATTGGGGAGGGTTCATTGAAAGTTTGGTTAGGTTTAGGAGCACGTTCAGGAACTCCTTTCAGGTCTGTTGTGCAGGGGGCGGGCCTCGCGGCTTGTCGTCGGCGGTTGTTAGGGTCTTTGTGTGGGTTGACAATAAAGTTCAATAAAGGTTACACACGTTTTACCTAGAGCATCAGGATGTTTTAGGGCTCTGGCCACGGCTACGAATGCTGCGAAGATCTACATGGCTCTCGTGGTCTCTTGAGAAGTGCCTGTTGGGGGCTCGGAGGCCGACCATAAATACCAGGCAGTGTGTCTGAGACGTAGAGTGGACGCTTTGGCTTTCGGTGCCAGTTCCCCACGGACAAGGTGGATTAACGAGTTGGGTTGTTCCATTACCCCAAGTGCCAGAGGCCTGAGGTTTGGGCTTCAAAGACCTTGACGGGTTCGGTGCACTAAGGTTATCGTTGCACCAGACACAGTCATCCACTGCGAGGGCGAGCCTGCGACCGGGATTTAGAGAAGCGCCAGCTTTTGCCGTTTGAGGTTTACGTAGGTTCTGGAGGTCCCAGACACGGTGCAGGAAGGCGGCTTCCATCCTCCTGTCTAGGAATCTAGGAATTCTTGCGTGTTTGCAGAATTCCGCACACCCTGGAATCCGTTGCGAAGCTCGCGGACGCCCCGCAAGAGACTTGAGGTCAAGCGGGAGGATGAGGAGCGGCTCGACGACGTCGGCATCTGGGTGTTTGATATGGGGGTTAAACGGACGCATCATGACCATATTTGCGCAATAATTAAATTGTTAGGCTTTTGCGGGGTGTTGCAGGTGTTGCTGGTAGAAGTTTTGGATACATTGGTTTCAAGTTTGTGGCAGAAGTTTTGGGTACATGGCTTTCAAGTTTGAGTTAAGCGCTTTGGACAGTGCGGAGCCATGCTTGTGGAGTTTAGCCGTTTCTGCCTGCTGCTGGCGCACACCTCTGAGGTCTTAGGGGTGCTTTGAAGAAGTGGGGGCTTAGATGGCCGCTGTGACGACAGGGTGGACAGTTGTAAAACCTCCCGTTTCATAAACAAGGGTGGCAACTTCGCATCCTTTGGCAGCCTGCCCAGATGGAATTGCTTTGCTGAGAGACGCTTCCGGAAAGATCACCCGAAAATAAGTTAGAACCCAACCATGACGCCATAACCCTACACCCCGCAAGTCTTCATAAGGGCATGGGTCACAAATTCACCGCGACACAAAGGATATGACGACATCGGAGGCTGCAAGAAGGCCACTTCCCAGTGGGGCCGGCATCCCCTGCAGCTCGCGCCCCACGTAGCTTGCTCCTTTTTCCGGCTGCGCATTGCTCACTGTGGGATTCTGGTGTGGACTGGGTCAAAGCAGTACATAATTCAGAGGCTCAGAGCCTCTTCTTATTTCTTCTAGCCTTAACGACTTAAAGAACAAGCGATGCAGAGCAAGTACAGTTTCTTAACTCCTTTGTAGACCGCGTGTGACCACTAAGTTCCAAGTGAAAGCCAAAAGATCAACGGGTTGAGAGAAGCACTTTCGGAGAACGTAAATATTCCTCTCCCCCGAGCCCCATTGGCCCAAGGCTTGTCTCCCAGTGCCGCACAAGGGATGTCTGGTCGTTCTGCGAAGTCAAAAGTCAAAAGGGCTCTTTGTCTCTCGCTCCTTTTGTGTTTAGCATCATCGGTGGCGACATTCGCTTGTTGCCTTTTGAGCCGTATTGGGTGCCAGCCGTTTCGTGGCTGCTTCTGTTGTCGGCCTGAAAAAAGGGGAACTTTTCTCGGCCTGAAGCTTCTTTCAAGTTGGCCGGCGTCTCCAAAGGCCGCCTTGGCCCAGACGCTGACAACACCAAGAGTTGCCGGTCCTAAACAAGTTGATTTGCGGAGCTGGTAGTCCGGGAGCTCTTGAATTTGTGCAATCATTGAGTCCCGAGCCCCCCCCCTCCTTGAGCATTCGGTCGATGATACGAGGCTTTACTGGAACTGAGCAGCCTCGCCTGCCTTGTGCGAGTAGCAATTGTCCAAAAGCTTGGGCCTCAAACGCAGAATAGCGAATTCCACGGCAAAAAATGCTTGCCTGAGAGGCCATGGGTCAAATTCGAGAAATGATCGAGCTGCCCTTGCGCCACCCCACGCTCTTTAAGACGCGGCCTGGTGCAAAATAGAAGTTCAGGATCGAGCTCAAGCTCTGGTGTGGGCTCGCAAATTTGAACACTGTTTGAACTATGTCGCTGAGACCTGTGTGGTTGCACTGTGCGAAGGTAAACTGCACCCTGCGTAAGAATCATCCAAGGCTGGGCGTAAAGCCACCGCGGGGGGTCCTGCTGCGACTTGGTTGAAAGAAGCAGCTGACGGGCTTTTGTACTGGGTGTAAGCATGGACTCAGCGGCTATCCTCTGGTCCTGATCTCCCCAACCTTCTTAGTCGAACCTTAGGCACGCCTCCCTGACAGCCCACTGAATCCCAGACCTCCAGACCGCCAGACCTCCAGACCTGCCACAAGGACAACAACGAAAGACAAAGCACTTTCCCTAACACCTAACAGAAGGACCACTTGTGTTACTGCCCGAACGTGAGCTGTAGTCTTGCCAGGCCCGGAAAGTTGCCTTGGTTGCCATGAGCAAGCGTGAGCGTCAAAAGTGTCCAGCAAGGTACGGCCCGCCCGGTAGTGGCAAGACCCTGATTGCGCGGGCCGTGGCCAACGAGACCGGCGCCTTCTTCTTCTTGATCAACGGGCCCGAAATCATGTCCAAGATGGCAGGCTATATGGGCTGCAGCACTTTTGTGGAACCAAGGGCTTGGCAGGATTCTGGCAATTCAAAGAGTTTCAAAGAGACCAAAGAGCTCGAATCCTTCGGCCCGAAGTGAAGCCCAGTGATGGGCTCCACAGGTTCCGAGCTCAAACGCCTCGCAGCCTCTCTGCACTCGACCTCCGCATCTCTTGGGGAGGCGAGGCAGAGTCCAACCTGCGCAAGGCCTTCGAGGAGGCAAGTCTGGCGGCGTGTGCGCAGCCGCCGCTTCTCATGTTAAGATGGAATCAGCAAGGTCAATCTCCTTTCCACTATAGTCACTATACCCGATAACCGATAACCCCCGAAGCCGTGTCTTAGCCTTGTGGTTCTTGCATTGGACAGTTGCACTGCTTTCTGGCACCTTTCAGCAGCTGCCCTCAGGCCCCGCCGATCAGAGAACAAATCTTCAACTGCCTAGAATGCAATGGGTCCTGGAGCCATAGCCACAGGATCATGAATACAGCGTTTGCCTGGAAACAATGAAGCTCCAATCCCGAGATCGTGCACCTGAAGCCTCCACCAGGCAGAGAAGAATTCACCAGCAATCATTTTCATCGATGAGATCGACTCGATTGCGCCAAAGCGCGACAAAACCAGCGGCGAGGTCAGGGCTTGATAGGGGGAAGGCAATTCTGTGCGTACTCTTGCATGCGCCTCCAACAGACGTGTGGGAAGTTCTAGGTTTGGCTATCCTGGCAAGATTTTGGATGCATGCCCCCACCCAGAGCCAATCACACAGTGCAAGAATAGCAACTGGCTGGAAGTCGCGAGCCACCTCCACCCACTTCCACTTCCACCGCCACCCCCACCTCAACCGCCACCTCCACCTCCACCCCTAGCTCCACCCCACCTCCCACCTCCGCCACCTCCACCTCCGCCACCTCCACCTCCGCCTCCATTCCAACTCCACCTGCACCCACCACTCTGCCCTTCCCCCTCAGCCTGAACATACAAAGCAGACACACAGCTTAGAAAACCATGCTGCAGGTCGAGAAGCGGGTGGTGTCTCAGCTCCTGACGCTGATGGACGGCATCAAGGGTCGGGGTCAGGCGCCCCCCCAAGAAGACGGGAAAGCTCGGATCTGCTTTTATGGCCGGGCCTAACCTTTGCAGCGCAGGGGTCGCATGCGGCTCGAAGGCCTCTCCGCCCAACCGCTACAAACCCTTCCCCAAGCCCAAACCTTTGTTCCGGAACTCTGCAGTACAAAACCCTGATGCTAATCCTCAGTGCTGCAACGACATCTGATGTGCGTGCGTGCGTGTGCATGTGTTCAGTCGCGTGTGCGCTCGAGCCTGTGTGAGTGTTTTTGTTTGGTTCGTTTGCATGCTCGCTTGCGTGTTTGTGTTCGTCCCTAAATGCTCCGGCTTTACAGCCCAACCAACGCGAACGAACTTTCGGTGGTGTGGGCTTCCCAAGTTCGTCCGGGGTTTGAGTGCTTGGCAGGTTGTGGTGATTGCTGCGACGAACAGGCCTGGTCTGGGTTAGGGGACCTTTAGCTCCTCAAAGCAAACCAAACGGAGCCTCCCAATTGCGCAGGGATGAAGAAGCAGGATGCTTCTGCAAGTGAGGATTGCGTGCTGCATTCGATCACGGTGGGATCGCTCCATGAGTAGACTGTTCATTTTGGCAAGGTTTAGTCACAGTCTCTGGATTATGACTTTGTGTGACTCTGAAGGCAACCAGCGCCTAAGTGCACGTATTAAGTATATATTTTCGTACCAACCCGGCGGCTGACTCTCTCAGGGTTTTCGAATCGAAGACTTCCCTCCAGGGGCTCTTTTCTATTATGGAGAGTGGGAAGGCGCATGAAAACGCACAGCGAAGGTTGCGCGGTCGCTTCAGACAGACACCCTGGAAAGTTCGAGACAACAGCTACCAAGAAGATTTTAACCTAGATTGACTTTCTTTCAACCCCCAGCGCCCACCGAAAGATGCAAGTAGGCCGAACTCCATTGATGCCGCCCTCCGACGCTTTGGTCGTTTCGATCGAGAGCTGGACATTGGAGTCCCGGATGACAACGGCAGGTGGGGGAATGAGCCTTGAAACAGTTCGGGAAGGCCTCAGAGGACTCCCAGACCCGGTTGCCACCCCTTAAGTCCTTTGGGGGCAGTTGGTCTGCAGCGGAGGCTGGAGATCTTGCGGATCCATTGCAAGAACATGAAGTTGGCCACGGATGTCAAGCTAGAGGCCTGTTGCTCTGAGTGTCAACATGGGGCACTTTGGCTCATTCAGGCATTAGCCTCCGGCCCTGGTCGTTCACATTTTAATCCGCGCGTTTTTGTTGAGTTTTTGGTTTCGGAGTAGTGCGAAGACCTCATAGGAGCACCTTTCGAGGAGACCGGTCCTCAGGTCCTCAACCCCGGAGCCTGCAGCCCACGCGAAGGAGGTGGCGTCCAATACCCATGGCTTTGTCGGCGCCGATCTTGCCCAGCTCTGCACAGAAGCGGCCCTGACGCCGCCTGGCATGACCCAGTGCCACAAACCTTTGCCCCTTCTTGAGCTGCGTTGTGTAATCACTGCGTCTAGCTGCTGGTGCTGCCCTCTAGCTGTATGTGCTCTACCCGGACCATTGGCGCAGCGTCCCGGGATGAGTGTTGGCGGGATACCGGTGGCAGGAGCCGCTGAGGTAGGTCGTAGCTGCGACTGACCATACGAGATATACGAGATAAACGCAAATTCTTCAACATCCTCAGACCTACAATGGACATCCCGAAAAGGTGCATCAGGGAGAAGATGGACCTCATCGACCTCGAGGAAGAAACCATTGACGCGGAGATTTTGGATTCCATGGCGGTCTCCCAGGACCCCTCAGGTTCTGTCACATTACCGACGAATTGAGGGTGGCCGCCTTGGCAGTACCTCCAAAAGAGCCAGGCCACTTCAGGCCCTATATTTGGAAGCTGCCCTGTTAGTCATCCTGCGACTCCTGCTATGAGCATTCTGGGTGACCAGTGGCTACATCCTGTCTTATCACTTTTCCAGCCCGTGACCGTTAGGACAAGTACTTGTAGGTACAAATAAGAGTCAAATAAGCCAATATTTCCTTCGGAGGATTTATCCCTTTCAGCTCCATGTTTAGACTTGGGACCGGCAGTGTTGGCTGTGAGGGCACGTAGAGAACGCATCGTCCAGGAGCACTTCAAATCTGCAATGGGCACTGTGAACCCTTCTTCCTTGCGCGAGACGGTGGTGGAGGCCGCTCCGTGGGGCTTGCGCGTCTGATGGATTTGGAGCAGGCGGCATAAGAGCAGCAGACAAGTTTGCAGCTGAGGTCCCCAACATCAAGTGGGACGACATCGGCGGCCTCGACGCCAAGCGTTTATCCAGGTGTACTAGGTCCTACTAGGTGTGCTAGATGAACCCAGTTCTCCAGTGCACAGGTGATGAGACCACCACCTGCGCATATCCATTCCTCGGGTGGCAAAAAAATGGACCTATGGCACATAGGAGCTTAGCGCACGAACGCACTGTAACAGCATGAGCCTTATACTTCATTGCTGTTCTTGCAGAACAAAGAGGTGCATGCAGTGCTCCCCTTTTCCAGCTTGAGAGCTTCAGGAAGACACGAAGAGGTCGCTCCAGGAGACGATCCTGTACCCAATCGACCATCCGGAAGCTCGGCAGAATTACTTTTCCGGGTGAGAATTCCCAAGCCGATTGGTCACTGGTGGCTTAGCACGGGCGTTTAGCCTCGGCTCTTTCTTTACATGCCGTTGTGCCTTGACCTTGCATGTAAGATTTTGCAACAGCCTGTTTTCTGGTACGTTTCGACGGTCCCCGAAGATTTCCCAAGCGAAAAGCCATTTTGAGTCCTGATGCCATGCTATACACTGAAGAGGCAGTTCAGTGGGCAGCAGAAACCCCAAACTAACCCAGGAGAAGTTCGAGAAGTTTGGGATGCAGCCCTCCCGTGGAGTGCTCTTCTACGGCTCCTCTTAAGCTGAGTGCGAAGTAAAGGGAAGTAAAGGGAATTAGGATTCGGATTAGGAATCAGGAAGGGGGTGCAGCAGCTTTGGCAATATCCTTCACTTTAAGTTATGCAGCACATGGTCTTGGTTCTGTGCTCCGCGCTGAGGCATATCGCACTCGTGTGTGGCATTTGCGGGGGCCCACAGCCCTCGTGGATACAAGTCCAAGAGGGCCATGCAGCCGAAGTTTAAGTTGCGAGGCGCTAGGCGACCTCAAAACCCACAAAGGCAAAGGCGAGGGCACAAGAGAGCTCTCTCGAGCCGAGGTCCGCCTGGCTGCGGGAAGACGCTGCTCGCCAAAGCTGTGGCTTCCGAATGCTCCGCCAACTTCGTGAGCATCAAAGGCGCCCCCCGAAGCCCCACGAAGCTGCACGAAGCTGCACGAAGCCCCCAGAGACGCGAAAAGGCAGCCGAGCCTCTATGACAAAGGAAGTACACGGACATTAGCTAATTGTGCAAAGCACCCGGCCACCCGGCCCCACTAGAAGGCCCGGAAGCTCCTGCCGGAAGCCGCAAGGCCCCGAACTGCTGACGATGTGGTTCGGCGAGTCAGAGGCCAACGTGCGCGAGGTCTTTGACAAGGCGGCCGGATAAGCTTCCGGATAAACTTCCGGATAGACTTCGAATCGTTTGACTCGACAGTACTGAACGACTTGTGTCAGAGGCAGCCAGGGACACGGGAACACTGCCCGCGCGCACGCACACGCGCGCACCTGCAGATGCGTGTGAGAGCCGGAGTGGGGGGAGGGGTGGGGGCGCCAAAATGAAGCCACAGACCCACAGCCGGCATCCAAGCAGCTCCTGCGTCTCCAAGCTGCACACTGAAAGAGTGCTTGAGTGCTCCGACCATCTTTGTGCTCAGCGCTTGCGGGAGCCAACGAGACCTGAGAGGCCCGCAAGTGCATGCCAACGCTCATTTGCGACAGCCACACCAACCGGCCCTGACAGCACCCGAACAGCATTCCGAAGCTGCCTGTAGGCGGGGGGGGGGGGTTTTGCGAAAGGGCCGAAAGCCAAGTTTCTCACCGGCATGCGGATGCATGTGGTATATACGAAGCCATGATGGCAAAGGGAAATCCCTTCTCCAGGAGCCGGAAGCCGTAAGCCGTAAACCCTGCCAAGACCTGAGCTTGAAAAGGAGCCCAAAACCTTGCAACACTGAACCTGACCTGAGGATCCCCCCCCAAACCATGGCAGTCATCCAGTAGATACCATGAGAGCATCTGAACTGCAAACGTTCGCAGCCCACAGGCTCGTGCAGCAGCGCCCTGCGTGCTCTTCTTTGACGAGCTGGACCCTCCTCTTTCTGGGGGAACCCGGGGTTGCGGGGCCTCCAGAAGATATGCGGGAGTCACACCAATCGCATCCATTAGATTAAGCCCGCCCCCAACCCAGAAAAAGCCGCCGAAAGCCATGTGCCTCTTAGTTCCAAGGACTCTGTGGGCGTGGCCCGCGGCTCTAGCCAGGGTGATGCCGGCGGTGCGGGCGACCGCGTGTGCAGGTTGCAGAAAGGGGGTCAGCAACGGCGTGCCGTTAAGCTTTTCAAGGCCCACGACACTCTTTGCACCTCTTTGATGTTTACGATGTTGGAGCTCTCCCAACCCCAAAACCCATTCCAGCAAATGTTCGATGGTCGGTGCGACTCTCAGGCAGTTAGGGTGGCAAAGCACCGCATGTGGGATGTCGTTCTCTCTGCAGACTCTCCCGACAACAAGTCCTCCAAGTTCCAAGGTGATGAACCAGCTCCTCACAGAGATCGATGGTGTGGGCGCAAAGAAGACGTTGGGCCAGCAACGGGACGGAGATCTCGGTTCTTGTGTGTATGTGTGAGAGAGATTGCGGACAGTTCAAAAGTTCAGCCCCTGCACTTGAAATTCCATGTGAACGGTGTAAGTTGCCATGTTTTTGCAATGCTACCTCTAGTATAGACTGCAAGGAGTCAAGGTACCGTTAAGGCCCCTTGGGCCGTACAAAGGAATGTCTTCTTCATCGGCGCCACCAACCGACCGGAGCTCCTTGATGAGGCACTGCTGCGCCCAGGGCGCCTGGACCAGCTGATCCTGGGCCTTTGTTTTGCATGTTTTGGCTTGAAGACATGCTTTTTTAAAAGTTTCTTGTTTCGCGGGTGTTCTTTTAGATGTGTGTGCTGTGTGTGTGTGTGCGCGCGCTTGCCAACGAGGACTCACCTAGGACCAGTCCGGTCTGGGTAACTGGGTAACTCTGTGCTCTGTGTCGAGTGCGCCCCATACGGCCCCAAAAGCGTTCGTAGTTCGCAGCGACACCACCCGTGCGGCACTCTTTCAACTTGAGGCGTTCGTTCTCAGATGAAGCCAAATCGGCCAAAGCTCGATCTGCCAACTTCGTCCGTAGATGAGGCGCAGGAGGCATGAGAGATTTTCCAGGCTGATAGATGGGCCACATCCACCATCTCTCACGACGAGAACCTCCACACCGTTGGTGATTGCCGTTCCTCCGCAATCGCTGGTGCAACAGAGGGCTTCCACTCGTGTCGTTCGCTTATGTTCAGATTACCACTATCATCCTGATGCTTGGGACAAGGTCGTTCGAAATCCCGGACAATGTGCGAGACTTTGGGCATCCGCCAATGGGGTCACGCAGAACAACATCGTGGACACATGGGGTTTCTGCACAATTGGGAAGTCGAGAATCTCCGGCCTGATGCGGGCACGGCTCAAACTCTCTTCTCTGCATCCGGAACACCACCGCTGGTTACACCTTCTTTGCGTCAATCGTTGGCCAGGATGGGAACGTCAAGAGAACCCGCGTCAGCTGGCGCCCGTGGAATGTGGACAGAGACCTTCACTGATTATTTATCTTCGGCGCGTCCGCGCACAGAGCACGATTGGACTATAGCATTGGGCCGTGGATTAGGCACAAGGATCTCGGACGCAGACGCCACGTGGACTCCAGGGTACTCGCTTTGGCGGGCAAAGGCCGTGCATGCTCATTGGGGCAGGGCTAACGTCGAGGAACTCATGGGTCAATTGGGATTCAACGACGTTATCATTCAGTCGAGACATCAGATCCGTGGAGGCTTCGACTGGATTGTCAAAGCGACTCGGAAGGACGACAAAATCGTGTTACAACAAATGGTGCAAGGGATGAGGAGCACTCATCTAAGTTGTTTGCATAAAGGAGGCAGCGCGACGAGGACGACAACAGGAAGTTGAACGACTCCGAGCTCCGCGTGCTGTTTTCTTTAAGGGCTTTTTGGTAAACAAGGACAGACGTTCCACGCCCATGCGACTTCGCTTCCGAAACCTCGGCAGTCCGAGAGACCCCCTAGACTTGAACAGTGCGCGACTTCGTCACAGTGGAGCAAGACCAGCGTGGTGAAGCGACGCTGCAGCGAGGATCTCGTCAACGACCTACAAGACAGCCTCCTCATCTCAAAGACTCTGCTTCTTCAACCCCTAGGCCCTAGGCTGTCGGCTTGCCGTTCCTCACGGGCTACAACCGTTGAGATGGGCAGAAAGCTGGGCGTTCGACGTGCTATTGCAAAAAGCGCAGTTCTCCACACGGCTCTGAGCGTTCCGGAGCGAGACAAACCGACAGCGTAAGTAAGGGCCCCCCGCCTCTTTCTCTCACAAGTGCTGAAGTGCGTCATCTTCGAGCAAATAGGGATTCTTCCCCAACTCCAACGCGAGCTTCAGCGGCTTCGGTGACCACTGGCAATGTGCCTGAACGATATAAAACCGACGAGGGATATCAATGGCCATGTCCTCTCTGTCCTTATACTGTTCATGGCAATTCAGGAGCCACGGTGAGCAAGGCGAGGTGGGCTCACCTCACGCATTGCCACGATGGGCATGGCATTTTCAAGATCCTGACGTTGTCGTTCCGGCTGCCACGATTGCAAAGGTGGGATGGCAGTGCCCATACTGCATGGTATTGAGGCATCAGTCGTGGCGCAGCACACCTGCAACGCTCTCAATAGGCAGAAATCCCTTCATTGTCGATGCCTGCGCGTCACAGTCGCCACTTGGAGAAAGGCCACGCAGAAAAGAGCCTATGACAAGTCCCGGACGCGTGCCAAATGGGTTCTGGCGCTCGCGAATTCTTCATTCAAGCGGGTACAAGAACCTCTTCATCAGGCAACGACGTTCGTGTGGCCAGTGGTGAGAACTCAAAACGCCTATGCGAAGCTCAAGCATCCCGTTGCCCACCTCAAGGTGAATGAAGTTCATCCGCAAGTACGCGTGCAACAGTTGTGCAAGGATTACCGCAAGCCGTAAGAAATTTCACAAGCACAAGTGTGGACCAGGAAGCGCAAAATCAGCCAGATCATGAAGTACCTTGAGGAGGCGCAAAAAAATTGCAACAAAGACTCGGATGTGACTCCCCGTGCATTGCAACAGCTGTGGCCATATCGCGAATTGAAAAGCACAATTCTTCGTGATTGCCACTCGCAACGTGGGGAAAAATTTGGCAGCTCGTCTAGAGTGGGTCCTTGCTCGCACCCCAGATCTCGTGATGCGCGCTCTTTTTGGGGTCATTTGGGGTGGCCGGTACCCCCCAAAAACATCAACAATACGTCTTCGGCAAACGTTGAAAGATGGGGTCGATGATGCTCTCCGGGGTCGTTTTTGGGACCCCGTTGGGGCATCCAAAAAATGCGTCCAGGAGCCCAATTTCGGTGGGGAATAGCGCGTTTTTTCGCAACAAAAAATGTACCTTAAAATGATGCCCTTCGGAAGCCGAATTTGGAGCCGGTGTCGGCTTCACTGCAGGCCTCGAGGGCATGTTCACCCTGTGGTCTGTCAAGCATAGTAGAAAGTTAGACCGAGGATCTACATCCCCCTGCCCGATCTCCCGGCGCGGTGTCTGCGTTGCAGCTTCGGGCACCAGTAGGGCCTGTGCAATATTTGGGCATGTCCACATGTTCTGGTAGTCCGAATGGCAGCTCTAAGAGGACATCTCCTGCGGCCATGTTCTTATTTGGGGACAGATCCGAGTGATCCGAGGCAAGGCATCCTAGAAGCCACGCTGAAGAAGTCCCCGGTGGCACCCAACGTTCCCTTGTCATTCATCGCGCAGCTGGGCCAGTTTGGGTGTTCGGGGCCACACCTGTAGTACTTTTGGTATGGAGCGTGCTTGAACCCAAACCCAGCAGCACTACAATTTCAAAGGGCCAGCTATGTCCAGGCACGCCTAGGCACACCTGGTGCGCATCAAGCTCGCATGACATCAACATGACCTATGCAGATCCAGGCAGAAGACCGAGGGCTTCAGCGGTGCGGACCTGGCGGAGCGGCTGCCTTGGAGTGCTGTGTATTCAGCTCTGCGGAAGGCGGTCTGTAGGGCCAGGTATGGGTTTAGGGTTTAAGTTTACAGTTGCAAAAGGGTTTAGGGTTTAGGGTGGGGTTTAGGGTTTAGGGTTCAGGGTTCAGGGTTTAGGGTTTAGGGTTTAGGGTTTAGGGCTTAGGGCTTAGGGTTTGGGGTTTAGGGCTTAGGGCTTAGGGTTTAGGTTTAGGGTTTAGGGTTTAGGGTTTAGGGTTTAGGGTTTAGGGTCTAGGGTTTAGGGTTTAAGGTTTAGGGTTTAGGGTTTAGGGTTTAGGGTTTACGGTTATGATATGCAGGACCTGATTTCGCAGTCATTTGGCTCGACCCTAGCTTCATCGGATGCTTTCTGAGCTGTTTTCGCCGCCGAAAATTACTTCACCCCCGCCCCCGTCCATGGCATGCGACATGTTCACTTGTGGGATTCGCAAACGACTCTTTGCAGGAGCCGAAATGGCTACGGAAACTCGGCTTGCCGCGGAAACTCTGCAGGGCCACCCGAAAGCCTTGCAACCTAACAGCCTCAGTTCCGGAGAAACATGAGAATGCGTACGCTTGCGAGACCAAGGAATCGAGCGCTTCAGCATTTACATGTCAGTCGTGCCAGGGCCTGGCACAAGGTGTGTGGTGGACACTTTTTCGTGCCAGAGTACCGTGCAGATGCACACAGGAGAAACACATTCATGCATCCGCAACGGGTCGCGACGTGAAATGGCCGAGAACAGGAGATCTGCGACCGACGAGATGGAAACCAAAGACTCCTGATAGTGCTTTTGCGTATTTGGGGACGCACGTCCCCAGTACGATGAAGATCATGTAAGATGGCATGTCCTGACAGCACAGGTCAGCAACATGACTCAGAGAAACGCTAACAGATCAGCGAGCTGACAAAAGCAAACTGCAGCTTCGAGCTTGCGCAGAGGAAATGGCTGAATGATGTCAGTGTACAAAGAAAAGCATATACACGCACACATAACTACACATCAACAAATATGTTTAGAAGAATTTTCTTATGTTATTTTAGTATGCAAATTCAACCGTTTAAATGGAGATTGCAGGGCAAATGTAAATGTGAAATTAAGTGCAGACGCAAATGCAAGTGTATGCATGCATGCATGCTCTGAGGCTCTGCCAGCGCGCCGCGAAGGCTCCAGCGTTATGGTTGGGGCAGTGTTGCGGCAAGTGACCGGTCTCGTGATGGCCCCTCGTTGTGAGAGGACTTTCGGATTTCACGTGGCATGTTAAGTGCTGCTTCCGGGTACAGAAGGCTTGTTCGCAAAGGAGGCGGGCTTGGAACAGGGTCAGAAGCGTCTGATTGAAGGCAGCTGTACGTGACGCCATCGCTGCTGATGAGCTCCGCGCAGGTGTGGAGCGGTAATTCTGTGGTCCGAGTCACGCTTACTGCGTAAGCCGCCAAGCTGTAGCTTGCGTTGTGCACCTCGCAGCACGCAGCAAACCGAGCTACCCTGCACCTGAAGCCTTGGAACAGGTGACGACGATGCCATGGACACCCAAATGGGCTCCGAGATCAGTCGCAAGCACTTCGAGGAGGGTGTCGGTATTTTCCGGGCGTTTTGCAGCCTGGGTTTGCAGGATTTGCGTCGAAGCTGTTTTGCCTGATGTCTGCCGGAGGTCATTGATCCCTAAGCCACAGCAGTAAAACCCTATAACCGCAGAACGCTCCTCACTGTGGCGGTGACTGAAGAGAATGCAAGGTGGCGTGCCAACAATAGATCCGAGAGAAACGCCCCCTTAGGATCCGTTAAAGAGATGTAGGGGCTAAATGATCCCATTAGGAGATTGGAAGCGAGTTCCGCACTGCACGAGGAAGCATTCGCAGGGGCGAGGCGGTCTGTTGCCGGCTCGGACCTGGCTAAGCAGCTGGGTGGTATGGAGTTTCGCGAGTTTGGGGGTTCAAGCGTCTGTGGCCGTGAGGTTTTGGGATGTGGTGTTGGGCGCAGGCTTCGAGGGCAGCACAAGCTCCGAGACTTGGGCTACGTAAACACTTTTTTCGGTTCGGGGCTCAACTCGACTTTGGACTTTCATGCTGTCCTACCGCAGTAAAGAAACTCTTGACGCCCAAGGATGGTTTGCCGATGCACGACGTAATCCTTTAACCCCTGACCGGCAGGGGTTCTCTCATTGTAATGTCGGGAGCTGCGCAAGTTGTTTGGCGAACTCGTGTCGTTGTCATGTGCGGCAGCTTCATTTGACATGTTGCATTTAATCTCTTGGCACTTCTGCAGAGTTCCTGTGGGTGGTTTGTTGCGCAGTTCTGCAGTCTAGAGCGCATCCATGTAGGTTTCCTGGCGTGAATCAGTGATAGATCGTCGCAATCGCGGCTGCTTTTATCGGGATGTGTGAGAAGAGTTCATGGCTCGATGTCGCGGCTCATGCTCATTGCTGATGTCTAGCGAGGGAGTGTAGGAGTCCACCCAATACTGCCTTTGCCCCAGGTATGACCAGTTCCGGAAGAAGTTCGACCCCGTTTACATGAACTCGAGTGCGGGCGGCGGGACCGGCGTCGTCATCAACTGGCCCGACGATGTCGGCATCGGCGCAACCGCGGCCGCTGCTGACGACGACGATGACCTGCACGCTGGGCCGCGTTTGTTTCATAGTTCAGGAGATTTCAGAAGTGTTGCCAGGCGCCCAACTAGAAGGATAATTAGGAGGAACTCCCGTGCTCGGGTTTGTTTTCGTCTTGCGGTACAGTCCCCAGTAGTTTCAAGTTAGAACGAGCCAAAGATACCAGACTAGCCGAGACACAAGCAGGTACGGATGATCAGCGGGCGGTCTGACCTTCCCATGGGTGGAGAGCGCTTGGGGGGAGTTGGCACTGACTGAAGAAGTGCGGGTTGACTAAAGGCAGACCGGGGTTTCGGTTTGGGATCCCTTCAGAAGGGCCTCTGCAACTTTGTTTGAGCCTCCCGCGCGTTTTCAGAGATTCGAGATGTCAACTCACTGTCTCTCACGCCCTGGGCTTGGGCGCGTCTGCAGATGCAGCGCCCACTGTCAATTCGGCATGGGACGTGCAGCGCGAGTAGCGAAGACGTGATGGCTTGGTCCGGACAGGGCCCATCCCTGGACTGGAAACCTTCCAGGGGTTCGGCGTGAGGCTTCGGCCAAGGAGTTCAGGTGTAGGCTTGTAGGATGTTTGAAGGCTTCAGGGTGTACGTGGGGTTCCGTCATGTTCCGTCTACAGTTGAGGTTTCGATCGAGACTGGGGAATTGCTTCGACAGGCCCTTTTCAGGCCCTTTTGGCTCCCGAAACCTGTGCAAAATGCATGGGGAAGCCTCCCGAAGATGCACGAAAGTACAGGCAGAGAATCGGAGGTATCTATTCCAGCCCTTCAGTGGGCAAACTAGGTCCGTGAGCGACCGATCGGAAGAAGCTGGCGCGCATGGAGGGCTTGGGGGGGGGGGGGGGGCGCGGCCTGGGGCCCTGGAGCTGAGGCTTGGGGTCGCAGGCTGTGGGGTTAGGGTAGGGTTTAGGGGCCCCAGTAAGCCCGAAACCCGTGAACTTTACCCTTGCCTGCCGTGTGCGAGTGTTAGCGTCGAAGGCCCAAAGGCTAAATTGCTAAACTTGACTCATTGTACCTTGTTCTATAGAGGACCCGTCCTGGATGGTCCGCCTTTCCGCGGCGGAGGCGAGAATGAGTCGGTGGAGTTTGCTTTGCACATGGGTCCTGCTCCGAATAGGATGCACGATCAGGGTGAGCACTCTTGGGCGGCCGCCACTTTTGCTTCTACTCGTACGTAATATGTTCCTGCTCGGTCGGGTGATCTCCGCGGACGCCGCAAAGCCATAAGCCCTTTAAGTTTCTGAGCACAAAATATCCAAGACCCAAAGCCCTGTGAGCCTTGTGCCCGCATGAGTTGTGTGAGAGTCGAAGCATTCCGCATTGTGCTTTGTGTTCCTGGTGCAGGCCCTGGCGACGCTGGCCTGTGGGCTGAAGCCTGCAGTGAGCTGTGGCAGCCTCGGGGTCCCGTATTCTTTTGGTTGGGGGGTCCTTTAATGAGGGCACTGTCTTCAGAATTGTGTCTACTGACGGGACAAGGGATGGGCGGTCTGACCAAAGAGTGCGGAAGTCGAGCATGTTGCCCTCCTTGATCCGACAGCAGCTGTGTGAGACTTCGGAACGCTCAGAGCTCTGCTCGAGGCCTGCGTCGGCACAAGCACCCGGGTCGCATTAGACAGCAGTGGTGCCAGGTTCAGGGTCTGGGTCGAGGCCCTGTTATTGACTCATTGTTCTGATGGAGCCACTTAGTGGTCATGGTGCCCCCCCAAGCAACACAACAATCACAAGATGTAGTGCTTTGAGTATGGCTCCTGTGTGCAGCTTGACCAATAAGAGCATGATACAATTGCAGAAAGCATCGCCAAGCAAGTAACAGGCAGGTTGGCCAGAAGAGCTTTGAGGGCGCTGGCCTACCTGTTCCAATGAACATCGGTAGGAAAGAAGTATTGTTGCCCGAGAGTGACTGGCATCCTCGTGTGTGCAAACCCTAAACTCAAAAGCCCCAAAGCCCCAAGACCCTAAAACCCTTAAACCCTAAAACCCGAAAACCCTAAACCCCAAACAACCCTAAGCAACCCTAAACCCTAAAACCCCCCTAAACCCCCCTCCCCCTTCCTCCAGCTCTCAGAGGCGCAGTGAGCGGCCCAGCCTGAGACTCGCGGCAACGAAGCTGCTGGAGCGCATGGAGGAAGGGAAGGCGCCAGCACCACTTCTTGAAGCTATGAGAGAGGTCGACATGCTTACAAATATGGCAAAATATCTACATGTTCTGATCTACAAATCTATCCAAGAAGATGGTTGAGAAGCATCTGGCGCCAGCCCGTGAAGGGACGCTGGCCTGTGTGAGGACTTTGTTCTGAAAGGGTGGATTGAAGCCTGCCAGTGTGCGATCAGGAATGTGCTGTGTAAGTGCTTGCGTGCATATGTCGGCCCGGCCACGTTTGCTGGCTCTGACTGCCAGGCCAACATCCACGTCAAGTCAGCGATCGACTCTTCCACGAAGCTCCTCCGGGCCAGTATGCTCAGCAAGGGCAAGTCCAGGTAACCGAGTTTTACAAGTGGTAAGAATCGCGGTGCATGCATCCCTGGATTAGCTGGGGCTTGGAGCGTGGGAAGGTTTAAGGATCTCAGAGAGCGGGAGGTTTAGCGATCTCAGCATCTACTCTGACGTGGTGTGTGTGTGTGTGTGTGTGTGTGTGTGTGTGGCTCGGCGAATGTGCCAGTGTACATTAGCCGGGACGCCCCTTTGCCTGTCTATTGTATGCCAGCACTGCTTTTCTGGCAGGTTTTTTGGTTTTCTTCATGTTCCTTTCTTTGGATAGGTCAGCAGTATGGGGGTTAGCATGTGCAGGGACATAATGTGTAGTAGCGCAGATGCTGCTGCTACTACTTCTACTACTATGAATTTACAACTACAACAATAACAATAGCTACTAATTGTGGCGCATGCGAGTCTCCTCGTGTCCGCGAGTCTCCTAGTCCTTGCCAGACGCAGGCCTCTGATAGCTCAGAACCCCAAGCCGGCCCAGGGCATCCTGCACGGTCACTTCAAGCAAGGCCTCCGAGTTGTCTCGAGTTGGCCGTTCATTCAGTTGAGGTGGTTTGGACGGGTCTTTGGAGCACAACGCCGAACACAAATAGTTCTAAGCTTCCTTTCCGTGCACCACAGTGAGCACGCCCATCATTGCCCCCCCCCTCCCCCCCATGAGTTTTAAAACCAAATGCGGTGGAGTGAGGAAATTTGCCAAGCGGCAGAATCAGAAGGAAGCCACGGTGTGGAGAAACTAGGCAAAGAGCCCGTGCCCAAAAACCAAGCGCCGGCCAGGGGAGATTCCCGAGAAGCAGCTGCAGTTCGCCCAGAAAGTGGCCCAAGCCGCTGGCATGCCAAAACGGGGCCAAAGTATGTAGGATCACTGGCAGAAAGGGCGCGGGGGTGGAACAACATCACGAATCACGAACGTCTGTACCCCCCGCCGAGCCGAATATCAGCACTTTGATTGGCACAAATCGACTATAGGGGGCCAGATCTTCACGGTGTCAGTGACAGGCAAAGTGCCCGACCCCACGCAAAAGCAGTTCTCCATCGTGCACGCTTGGGTGTAGTGCTCGTGCAGCCCAGGCAGCACTCGCCCGACTGCTGAGTGCTGGACTGGTGGATGAGCCACTCGTCCTACACAGTTTTTGTTTGTTTGGTTGGTTGGTTGGTTGTTTGGTTGGTTGGTTGGTTGTGGTTGGTTGGTTGTGGTTGTGGTTGTGGTTGTGGTTGTGGCTGTGGCTGTGGTTGTGGTTGTGGTTGTGGTTGCGGTTGCAGTTGTTGGTTGTTGTGGTTGTTGTGGTTGTTGTGATTGTTGTGGTTGTTGTGGTTGTTGTTGGTTGTTGTGGTTGTTGTGGTTGTTGTGGTTGTTGTGCTTGTTGTGGTTGTTGTGGTTGTTGTGGTTGTCGTGGTTGTCGTGGTTGTCGTGGTTGTCGTGGTTGTCGCGGTTGTCGCGGTTGTCGCGGTTGTCGTGGTTGTCGCGGTTGTCGCGGTTGTAGGTTGTTGGGGTTGTTGGTTGTTGTGGTTGTTGTGGTTGTCGTGGTTGTCGTGGTTGTCGTGGTTGTTGCGGTTGTCGTGCTTGTTGTGGTTGTAGGTTGTTGGGGTTGTTGGTTGTTGTGCTTGTTGTGGTTGTTGTGGTTGTTTGTTGTTGGTTGTTGTGGTTGTTGGTTGTTGGTCGTTGGTTGCTGTTGTTTTGTTGGTTGCTGTTGGTGGTTGGTTGCTGTTGTTTGTTGATTGCTGTTGGTGTTTGGGTGCTGTTGGTTGTTGGTTGCTGTTGGTGGTTGGGTGCTGTTGGTTGTTGGTTGTTGCTGCCTTTTCTTGCTTTTCCGTCTGGAGCCTTTCACTTTTCCTACGCACAAAAACCAGCGAGGCTCTCTCTGCGCGCAAATCATTATCAGCTAAGAGGCCCCATGAGCTCTCAAAGCCCAGTTAGTGTGACCCGACACTTGTGATGCCTTAGCCCGAATGCCCAGGTCCGGCCATCCTCACCACCATCACCACCCGCCATTGCCGGCCGAACCGCGCCCCAGCCAACACATCAGGCCCTCAAAAAGGGGTCTTAAAGTGGGACTCGGGCCGAACTGCGCAAGCTTGTGGGAACCGCTGCTTGTGGTCGGCAGGAGCGAAGAGAGGTGGGGAGCCGTCGCTTCAAGAACTGTATCTGGGATGCATCCCTGAGGCAGGGCACCTCATCACATGCCAATCTTCCTGCCAAGCAGAATCAGAACTTGAGAGCCTCCAGACATGAACTGCTGCCTTTGAAGGCATTGCGGTCCCCAGTTCAATGTGGAGTTGGGAGGCTTATCAGTGTCATTTGCGCCGATTCCAGGATTCCAAAGCTTGTTTTCCATTGCCGCCGTGGTCCCCAAGCCAGTCCCAAAGGGATGCTGTTTCACCGCGGGTGCCCACAGAAAGGGGTTAGCGCCGCCTCAGACAGGACTCTCCCAAAGATTCGTGGCCGTAGAAGCACACTTCCGTGGTTTCTCTTAGTTTTTTGGCGCTTCGGAGTTATGTGGATGCCAGTTTTGGGGGAAGTTTTGGAATGAAGACGCAGAGACATATTCACTACCCCCATATCCTGAACCAGGCACGTCCGAGGGATACGAGTTGCAATCTTGAGACTAGTGGCTTATCAGAGCTGTTAGGGGCGACTTTCTGACTTCGATCTTCTTGTGTGTCGC